CCTCCCACCCCCTACCTCCCTCACCTCCCACTAGCCCACCCCCAGCCCACTCCTCCCATGAGGAGTCAACAGTCTGGCTCAATAGGTTGACGGCCTCTCCCATGCATTAAGACTGAGCATGGCATCTTACCATGGGGAGTGGGCTCCAACAAGCTAGTCCACATAGCAGGATTATATTGTGGCCTTACCGCCACTGAGCATAGCATCTTACCCTAAGGAATGGGATCCAACAAGCTAGCTCATATACCAGGTTTGTATCGTGGTCTTACTGCCAGAGTCTCCTGATAGTTCAAGCTTCACTGCTGTCTCCCACAGTTCAATCCCCTGCTGTCTCCCACAGTTCAATCCCCTGGAGTCTCCACAGTTGTAGGTTCATGAGTTTCCACAAGCTTGGTTCAGCTATCTGTGCAGATTTCTCCATCATGTTCTTGACCTCCCTTGCTCATGTATTCCCTCCTCCCTCTCTTCACTTGGTTTCCCAGAACTCGGCCTGGTTCTTGGCCATGGATCTCTGGGTGTGGTTCCATCAAATACTGGATGAGGGCTCTATGATGATAGTTGGTCTCAGTCTTTGTACACTCTGGCTCTAAGTTGTTCTACTCCATTTAGTTGAGTCATCAATACCTCAGCCTTAGGTTTTACTACTTGAATACCTACAACCTTATAATCAGTCACAATTAAAGACTCGTGTGTGTGTGTGTGTGTGTGTGTGTGTGTGTGCGCACACACACACACGCGCGCGCACATGTGTGTGTTGTAAATCTAGTCCTATGTAGCTCTCAGATATAACAAGCAAAATAATTTTAATGTTCTTATTCCCCAGGTGTTCTTCTCTATCTTCTTCCTCTCCTACTTCCTCCTTTTTGGTTTGTCTGGTACTTAGTCTGTTGGGATTTTTAAAAAATGGTTTTCATGTGTATGGGTGTTTTGCCTGCACATGTATCTAGGCACCACATCTGTGAATGGCCCACAATATTCAGAGGAGGCCATAAGATTCTCTGGAAGAGGAGTTAACACCTGCTTGTAAGCCATCATGTCACTTGGAACAGAGTCCCGGGTCCTCTGCAAGTGCAAGAGGTGCTCTTAACCCTTGGCTATCTCTCCAACCTCGGTTTGTTATTTCTTTCAATGATTAGTGGCTTGTTCATGTGTTTAATGCTGCTGGCAAATATCACCAAGGAGGCCAATGAATCCTAAAGGAGGGACAAAAGCAAGTCCCTTAAATCCTTCATGAATTTTCCACAGAGTATGATATGTACAACCACATTTATCTCCTCTCCTCTCCCTTCCTCCCTCCCTCATCCCCCCGTTGTTTTTTTTTTTCCCAAGAAAAAGACCAAGGTTAGTGAAGTGAAGTCCTTCAGGTATTATCAGGAATGAGAAATGACACCTCAAGATTAGCTCTGCCCTAGAGAGTAAAGGATGCTAAGCAAATAAGTAATAATGCTTCAGTAATCTGCCATGATGTAGCAGCTTCCTTTTTTCCCTTATGGACTCCCTTGGTGGTAATATATAGATGCTACATAGCTATCAATTGTGGTTAAGAAAGTCCTCAAAATGACCACCTTAAGTATACTCAAATGTACAGTTCATTACTGTGAAGTGTATTCATGCTGTGAAGTAAATCTCCAGAAATTTTTAATCTGGATAAATTAGAAATAATGTTTGGGTTGGCCAATAAAGGTGCTTGCTGTAAGTCTGGTGACCTAAGTTGCACTGCTGGAACCCACATGGTTGAAGGCGTGAACTGAATTAGCACACTACCTTCTGACTCCCACACACATGCTGTGGCACATGCGATGTTTGTTGCTTCAGTGAATTGCCCTGTCATTGGGGTTTCTTACTCAATCTCCAGAGAGCCTATTATTCACACTATTCCAGAAAGTCAAGATCATAAATGTGATAATGTATTGTACTTTTAATGTCTGCTAATAATGGCTGGCTCTGTCTCCCTCTCTAAACAAAACTATATTTAATAAAAGGGAAATACAACTTAATTTTCATTAAAGGGAGCTTCTGTAAGGTGAAGGGAAGGAGAAAAACCATTCCTTTCTCCCAATAACATATGTACATTGAATTGGTATAGTCATTACACTGAATATGGCATCACAAATGAGGCTCAGATAAACCATACAAATTAGTAAAAATGGGGTTAGCTCTAAGCATTTATATTTACTTTGCTAACATTTATTTGTAGAAAAGCTTGTATCAATTTAGGATTATCAACTCACTGGTTTTGGATTTTAACTTTGCACTGTATATATTTAACCATTCATATTCTTATTTAGCCTCAAGGAGACTATTTCTCTAATTCATTCTAAAATTCCCAGACGTTTAAACATACACTTTCAACAATTTTGAAGTAACTATTATTGGCAGGCTGAAGGTTCATATGACTTTAGGTATTCAAGATTCTCATTTTTGCTGGGCAAGGTGGTGCAATCACAATGGTAGGAAGGATAAGAGGATCAGAAGTTCAGTGAGCCTTAAATACATTTTGAGTTCTAGGTCAGTATAGGCTATGTGAAATTATATCTCAAAAGTTTATCATTTCCATCTTTATGCTAGTCTCAGAATTGCATTCATTCCTTGTTTGGATACAGTTACATAGATGAATAACCCTTTGAATGCTATGCATGGATTCCACGCTTCTTGGCAGATCCCTAAGTAAAATCTGGTTGTGAAGTTGAACAGTCTTCTTTTAACAAGATATGAGGGTTAGCTTTACCCAGTGGGCTAGAGTAGATGACAAAACAAGCAATTCCCTTGGACTAAAATCTTATGCTATGGGTCAAGCTTGGGACAAACTTATAGCCTACCTTAACATTCACATAGTGTGGGAGCAATGTGAGGAAGCCAACTGAGCTTATTCTTTTCTACAGCCCAAATACCATTTGATGACCTACTCAAAGGGCACAGATGACTCAGTGCACCATATGTCAAAAGATGGATGGCATTTCTATAGGGATCAGGTGCTCCGTTCTTTACCTAAACAGAATGCCCAAGCATTCCCTAATATGAGAAAATTGGAGACTCTCAAACTGTAAGCTTAGTATTTCTCAGTGTGACACAACATAGTCATCTTAGAAATTGTCATCTGGGTCTCCTTTCTATGGCACCAACAATTTTTCCACAGAACAAAGATTTAAGCCACATATACTTGCTCTGCTAATTCACAATGATGGTAGATTAATAAAAATGTATTAGAGCCAGGATCTAGAGATAACTTCCTAGGGATACTGAAGGGGGAAATATGTTGGAACCAGAGGAACAGAGTACTATAGTGTAAATACAATGCATTTTTTGGAATATAGAGTCTATGTTTGTATGTTGTGTCATAACAAATTTCTCAAAGCTATGTGGAAATTATGGGCATTGATAGATTATGCATAGAAAAGGAATTTTGGTAAATTTTAGACAAGATTCAGAAATGGTTTTGTTAAATACAAATTGTAAATAATCGGGAAGATTTTCTCTTGAAATAATACAACATCAATCATGAAAGTGGGCATTTATTTAGAATAACAATTTATAACAAGAATTAAATGATGACATCCAAGCAAAAGTTTTTAACAAATTGTGTGTGTACGTATATATATATATATGCATATACATACATTAATTTACACAAACACCACAATGTTGCTATATAACTAAAGTTAAATGAACATCTAAAGTGAAGGATATAATGGTTTTATTATAAATCAAATACCAAAACTTTGCAAATTGTACATAAACATAGCCATGTGAAATGAACACAAACGAAGAGACCAAGAGTGAATGTTGTCTCACTCTATGAGGTAAAAATGTGGATAGGTTTCTGTTAAGCCCTTAATACATCTTTTCACATCAAGTTTTTTTTAATATACTAGCTTTTCTAATATTTAATCATAAAAAAATCTTGTTTCAAGTTACAAGAACAATTAATTTTGTATGTGTAACCATATACAGAATAACTGCCACATATAGCAATAAACAACTTTTGCTTTAACATTTTTCCAAATTTCCAGATTCTGGTCCATCTAGTAGGTTGGAATGATTTACCAGTTGGCGTTTATGTTATTGGAACCAATTGGAACCATTCTATAAATAAGCTAAATGCTAAAACTTGCTTAGTTTGACACAAATTAATTTCTATTTGGAGACAGAGTCTGAACATAGTGCTTGCTTTTTCTAGTTTATACCAAACTAGATAGACAATGAAACAGCAACCCTTGACTGTAGAGTGGCAGGACTGTTGTTATGCTAATTGTAATGGTCTTCTACAAATGCTCAGCTAGCTATAGTAATAAGACCTACTCACAGTTATGAAGATAGCCAGAAGCTTATCTGTTTTAAAAGTGATTCAGCATCGAAAGACAGACTCCTCAAACTGCAATTTCAGAGGAGTATAGAATGAACAATTCTGTTCATGGATGCCAAACATCATTTTCTGCATGCTGAGATGTTACACACACATACACACACATACATGTAGATCACATGCAGACAACCCATTTAATTTTAGATTGTTTTCTTGCAAAAGCAATTGTGGTTAGTTACAATATATAGCAACATTTAGTCTATCTTTGGTTCTATGATTTAGAGATATTTTTTCCCAAAAATAAATAGGCATGACAGGAAAAATAATTCGGCTATCTTAAGAGAAAACTCAGTATTTTATAAAAAAAAATAATCAAAAAATATATAACTGATATTTGTTTTAAACATCTTTTCTAATTCTCTTGCTTAAAATCTAACACCAGTGCAATTTTTATTAAACTGAATGTGCATACTATACAGCAAAGACACAAAAATATCATAGAACAAAATAGTAGTTTCCCTTAAAATCGCTTAAGAATTATGCATTCTAAAATGTTATTAGAAATTCAAAACTGCGAAAAATATATTGACAAAGCTGATTCTGAATAATCACAAGAAAGTAAAGATGGATGGAGTGGTATCTGCAGATCACACCAATCTTCAAAAATAAAAAAATAAAATAAAAGAATTTAGATTTAAGGACCCTCCCCTGCATTCTCAGCAAATATTTCATGTTGGGAATTTTAGACGATGACTTTTCTAAAGTTATATCTAGATTTCATTATGGTTTTAACTCTTGGCATAATTAATGAGCTTCATTTGCTAATGATCTCCGTCTCTTTTCAAATATGATTTTCGAATCATATAATTCTCTCTCCCTATAGCCAAGGGATGGGCCCTTTAGATACTTTGCCTCAGCTGCCTCATAATCTAAGCCATCAACAGCAGAAATTGAGCAAATAATTGCTTCTGGTAGAAGAACTTCCAAGATAAACTTAATTTTGTCATCTTTTATCAGAGTTAGCATCTTCTGATCTATTTGTTTGTAGATTTCTTGTAGATATTTCACCACCTCATCCAGTTGATCTTCGTCTTCAAAGTATGTTTCAATACAGGGTGTGAAACTCTTTGCATTCAAAAATGATTTCAGCCATTTGGATTTTTTTGTACCCTTTAAAATGCCTAGGAGATGGTCCTCTGTTCCTTTTGCATTGACAATGAAATCTACCAGGTTCTTGTTAGCTCGGTCCCGAGCAGGCTTCATCCGGTCAGGGAGAATTTTCTGGAAAGATATTCTCTTGGCGTGGGATGTCACAGCCATTTGCTCCCCTGTGTCTTCATTGTGTAGCTTTGGAAATATATTTCTGAAGGTATCTTGTTTGATTATTTTCCTGACTGGGTAACTGATGTCAGCAGCATAATACTCAAAGAATGAGCCTGTAAAAGAACCACAGCCTAGTCTAACTCTGTAGTCACAGATGAGTGACACGCACCAATCGATACTTTCACGATACTCCTCCCTAGCTTTCTCCACTAGAGCCTGCTTCTCTTTACAGTCATATTTTTTTAATCTTCTGAAAGAGACTCTCACACCTTTCTTCTGAGGATTCATGTTTGCCTCAACAAAGAGCACACTAGCTTTCCTCTCTTTTCGCCTAATGCTTTTTATCACTGCTGGCCAAAATGGGTATTTTTGATATTTAAACCACACTATCATTCCGGTTTCAAATGCACGTGTCTCATAGCAGAGAATGAACCGAGGGAGATCTTCATCATCATCTTCATCATCATTATCTAAGGCAGCTGCTCTAGCAGGATTTAGAGACAGTAGCTTGCCAGAAGCTCGGGCTTCTTCCTCAAGATCTTCTAAATCCAGTCTCTGAAGTAGTAGATCACTATTGACTGGATTACAAGCAGGAAGTGAAGCCTGGTATTCCCCTGAGCACCCTGCAAGGGTGCTCTCAGCACCTATTTCTGATTCCACAGAAGACTGATTTTGGCTGCCATAGAAGCATGGGTTCTGATGTGATGGGCCCTCTCCAGGATCTTCCATACTATGCTCTGGGAAGTTGGAGCATTCAGTGGAAACTGTAGGTGCCTCTAGGGGAATGTCTTGGGCCTCCTCCTTAGGCACAACGAGATCTTCTGATGGTGGAACATATTTTTCTTCTTTAATGTCTTCAGTTTCTTCTTTGAGTGACAAATTCACAGACATGATTGCTGAGATGTCAATCTTTTTCTTTTCTTCTTTTTTATCATCCTCATCATCCAGAAATGAAGGGTAAGTTTGGCACCAGCTGAAGTTTTGTGATGGCTTTGTTTCCATTTCGTTTGCAATACTCTCAATGGTTGTCCGCACCTGCAACTTATCATCAGATAGGGAATCATCACTCTCCGAGCACAGTAACATGGAAGCTCCATCTTCTTGGAGGTTGCTTTCAATTCTCCGATACTTTTTAGGAGGAGGTGAATCAGACTGCTGTTGTGGTACACGTTCAGATGCTGTGGTGGCGACCTCTTCATTTGACATGCTTTCTTGGCTCTGAGTTGTTCTCTTTCTCACAATTTCCAGTGCCATTTTCAGTGATCTTTCATAGGCTGTCTCCTTCCTAGGTGGAACTCTGACCTCTGACTGTACTGCTAGTAAGGACACAATGGTTTCAACCTCAGATTTACTTAGGACTTTTATGTCTTTGCTGCCCACAGTAATTTTCTCATCTAGACAAAGTATTTGAACTTGCAGAGAAAATGTGTTTTCCCCTTTACTGCCTGACGTAGTTTCAGACCTATATAAGACTTTTGCTGGCCATAATTGTTCTTTCCAATTACATAGGACATATTCACCATCCATTGTGATTTAGATTAGTGTGCCAAGTAGTGTTACAGACAAAGACTGGCTGGCCTTATGGCTACAAATTCAAATGCTATCACAACAACAGTTATTAAAGTTTCTTTTGATTTAGAACCGCAAAGAGTCTATGGTTTATGTGCACTGTTTTCTTCCACAAATATGTCCCCAGGATACTTGACCATGTTGTTTGAATAAGCGAACTCTGGAAGATACTGAAATAGGGAAAATACTATTAACAAAACTATCTTGCCAGAGTAGAAGGTGAGCAAATGCAAACAAAAGAGATAAACCAAAAATAACTGTGTTCAATGAGAGATGACACAGACAAAAATGCAGTCTAATGGACAGAGAGGTAACAACTGGAAATAAACTTCAACGATAACCCCAATTGAAGAACCGTTACTTTTTTCTTAAAGAATATACATCAGTATAGCTAGAAGTACTTGTAATCATATGCTATGGAATCTATTCATTCCACCTGATACTTTGATACTTTTGTATTCTTTGTATTACATCTGTGGTAGAGTCTTCAAGTTTAGCAATCATGAGGACCACACAGAGGGCCCCACAGAATATTAGGCTCCATTCTCAAAGTCTTATTCGAAAGTTCTTAGAATGAGCCCCAAACCTGTAATCCTGCTATGTTCTCATATGATGCTAATACATCATTAACACTAAAAGGCAGTGTATTAGCTGAGCACATGGCTTTGCCTCAAACTTCCAACTGAATTATGTTAATACATGCGTTGCTTTTAAGTTGAAAATGCTTACAGATGGAAAGCAGGAAGCAAAATCAAGTGTCCTTTAAGACCTCAGCATATTTTCAAATGTGTAGTGACTGCTGAAATGGGACAAGTCTTACCCTCTGTCACGTGGACAGTGATGGTCCTGCAATGTGATCCAACTATCTTGATTCTCAAGCTAGTTGATTTCCCAGCAGATCTTTCACCCTATGGGGCATGTATGTAGTTACACTGCTTTTCTGGGCTCAAGTCGAATCACATGCAGAATTCCCACTCCACAAGCACCTCCAATATTAACCAAGCCTGTACAAAAGGAAGACAGCAGATCAAATTAATTAAAGGGAAGTGTTAAGAAAATTTAAGAAAAAACAAAACAAAACAAACCCAGCTACCCCAAACTCACTGGTATGCCACTGTGAAACATAGGTATGAGATAAAATCTCATCATTAATGTAGATATTCTACAAGATGAAACATTCTTTACCATTCATGCTGAAGTGATCTCACTCTAGAAATGTATGAGGTGAGGTGACAGAAGGGGGTAACAAATGATCTTATGTCTACTACGAATCACAGGTTAGATTTTCTAATTGAATCTCACAATAGTTATCATATTGATTTCTCATTTAAACTTGCAATTGTTTTCAATGGAATCACAGTTACATGACATAATGTCTCATGGTCTGACTAATTAAAAAACATAGTTTCATTGTTTTGTTTTGTTTCCCATAACCATGGTTGCCTGAAGAAAATCCAGTCTTTCTGGCACATATGCTATCTTATAACCATAACCAGAAATGCAGCCTGTTGGTGATATAGGCAGGGCCTTAACACAAGATCCTTCTCATGGCAGAAGGTTAGAAACTGCACTAGCCAGTCAGGAGCCTTCTTGGGTATTTAGAATTCTTTATGTTAAGTATAAGTGTGTAAGGGCTTGATATGTGTTCATTGTTACACTAGAGTGTTTTCCTGGCATGTGTAAGATCCTGGGTTCAATTGCCAGTACATTTTTAAAAATTAAATAAAGTACATTTAAGGGTTTGTAGTACAAGATAGAAATAGGGTAATGTTTTCACCACAGTGGTTCATTAAGATTGAAATGATACAAAGTATATATATACACATAAAATTTAGGTACAACTTGACACAAATATCCACCATGAATATTCTCTCTAGAAAAATTTTACATAGATGAATGAATGCCTATTTCAAGCCAGGTCCAGGACCCCTCTCAAGAGTATGGTTTGAACATAGTTCTATATAAATAAGCATTTTCAACATGACTTTATATAACTTATTAAATGAGGCTTGTTCTAAGTGTGTAATATTTTATCTCAATATTTCCTCAAAGATGTTTTTAAAAGCCTAAATAAACATGGATTACTATTTTAAAAGTAGATACTAGTAAAAGCATCTCTGATTCTCTATCTATACAGATAACATATATTTTTGTTAGAGATGCATTTTCAGATTTAATTACATACATTGTAGTAACACACATATATTGAGGTAGCATATGTAATTGCTCTTCCATAATTTTCTCTTTATTGGGTATTATTTCTCAGAAACTTATAAATTACTTCATGTGGATGCTCATGTTTTTCATTTACCAGATACTACAGAATATGACTGTACTATATTATATAATATTCTTTAACTAGCTTATAGGAATAAACCAAATATTTTGTTTTATACATACAATTACATGATGCAGAAAAGGATTTTTGGCAAACATTGCTCTCCATGTGGCCTGAAATAATGAACTGTAAGGGGGATACACACAGGGTTGTAGTTAGAAGAGCAACCAAGCTACTCATTTGACCAGATGCAGGAAAATTTCCACTACTGGAAAAAATAAGTATGGTTGTGGAAGCATATGTGTATGTTTATGAATGTTTCTGTAGCTGAGACAAAAATGAGTATGCTATTTGAGCTTCGTTTTCTTTCATAGTTAAATAAATAATCATGAGGCACTCTACACTTTAATGGTATTGAAATGGTTTAAAAATATTAAAAATAGTAACTTGACTACCCAGAAATGCTGAACGCGAACATAGGAGTTTCTGTCCCTTTTTTCCTAACCACACACGTATACTTGCATATATTACGTGCTCATGTCTTCACTCAATTGCACATTTTATCCCCTTCCTATACTCATATGCATTGAACATACACATACTTTTCTCTGTATTTCAATTAGCAGATGTATGAATACACTGCTGTTGAATACTTTTGTCAGTTTTATTTCTGGGTAAATGAGTAAATGTTTGAAATTTCATAGAAAAACAGAACGCCTTGTAATATCAACAAGGTCTGCCAAGTTAGGAAATTAGCATGAACGGCCATGCTGCACTGAAGCCTTAATTTAGAGGCTGTAATCTGATCACCCCTTTCCCCTCTGGACTTAAAAAACCTTGGGAGATTCGAAAGTTCCAGAGGATTAATGCTCTCAAAATACCAGCAGTTCTTTAAAAATCACACAACGTTCCTTCCACTTCCAAGATCGTCCTTCCTATTTTTATTTATGTATTTATTTATTTATTTATTTTAGGTTTTATCCCAGAACTCAAGAGAAGTCATTAGAAAATAAATTGAAGTCAGACATTACCTTGATGCTTCTTGTCAGCTGCAGCCTGGTAAAATGCAGCTCCTCCCCCAAGACTGGCAGGGCAAAACTCACAGGCACTGCTCAGAGAAGGCTCCGCCTCTGCAGAGTGACACAGAGCACAGGGCCACTCCCTGAATTACAGGAGAAACAATTGCCAAGGAAAACTGTTGAAGTGTTGAGACGTGGAAATGTTCCCCCTTTACAGAACTTTACAGTGTAATATCAACAAGTGTTTGTATAATTTCCATTCAAGCTCTAAGAGTGGAAGATTTCTTGAGGAGATCACAGAACACTTTATCTCACAAGAAAACCCCAGTTTAAATATTTTAAGTAGCCTTCTCTGACATCCTATGCCTATAGGTGATTATTTTCTTTTCTTCCTTAATTTCTTCCTTTCTCTTCCCTCCCTCCCTCTTTCTTTCTTATTACATCTTCATTGCAAAATGATGGGCTTCATTAAGAACTTTTTCATATATGCTTATCATGTGCTTTGCTCTTTTTTATTCTTCATTGCCCTCTCTTTTTCCCACTTCTCACTCTGAATGGTCCCTTTCCTCTTCCCCTAGGCACCTTCTCCCCACATGCATATACATTAAATCACACCCTCATACTCCACCTAGAATAAGAACACAACAAAGGGAAAAAAATAAAACTGTATGCCAAATTCCTAGATGAACATAGATGCAAAATTTCTCAATAAAATACTTGCAAACAGAATATATTTATAGGTGAACTGAAAACCATGCTGGCCAACAGCCTCTTAAGTTGAATAAAAAAGACAGTGATTAGGATTATGCAACAACTTTATATTGTGTCAGATAATGTTGACTTCTCTTCTGAGTCCAAAGCATGTTATATCTCCTTTTACTCATCACTTGTCTTGCATTCTTCAGGGAAGCCTCAGGGATCCCTTCCTATCCTTGTTTCTTTCTGACTAGAAAGTGAAAACCTTGTTTGGGAAAACACAATCCATCTCTGTGTATCTGAGTCTGTAACAGGAAGGTGCATTTTCTAGGATTTTGCTGTTGTGTTCACACAAGTGAAATTCAATGCAGGGTGAATTTGTTTTTAATTTCCATGTCTTCTGCTCATCAGGATATCCCTCTGGTAATTTTAAATTAGAAGGCCAGTTTAAGTCTAATTATATTTAAATGATAATTGATAACTTGAGAAATGCAGGGTTTAATTTGTGTCAGTTCAACACATGATATGACATTATTCAGATGGTATAATTTTTAAATGTATGTTTTCTTTAAATCACACTTATGTAAACCTTAGTGTCAGAATAATAAATATGAATAAGCTAATAAAAGTCATCTCTAGGCTGGTATGTTGTTGTTGGCTCTAATAAATATATGATGCAATGTTTGTGGTATAATATTCACAAAGCTCACACATTCACTCCCCAAAAGTTTGCTTTTGCTGGTCAAATTTGAATGTAGGCCATCAAGTCTCCAGAAAGGGGAGAATGCTCTGTTTTCAGCAGCCCAAAGGACACAAACTTCTTACATCCTATTATTTTACCATTTTCTTGGGCCTGGAAATCCTTCGGTGCAGAATTTATGTCTAGCTAGGTATCTAAAAAAGAGTGAAGATGGACAGTCTTGTGGACAGTTTTAAGAGCCATGTCTGGAAAATATTCTGGCTGTTCTCTAACCAGAAGTCAGGTATAGAGGGCAAACTACAGTAAACTCTGTACAATGTGGTTTCCTTGTGATTCAGGAACAAAACTGAAGAGTTGGTGAACATGTGGCACTCTCTCTGCCATATGAAGTATTTTTCTTCCAATTTTTACTGATGCCTTTTATTTGACTTACTGCATAGCTGTGAAAGTTCTAAACATAATGCCACCACAAGCAGAAAAACCACTTGTCAGAGCTCTCTGCCCCACTTTTACTACTTTCCATGCTCACTGGAAATTGACCACAATAGATAGATACAGTTTGGAAAGCTATTCTGAACTTAGAATTGAATTAGAAAAACGATGTACCTCACTAGAGATGGGTGATCTTAAGCCCTTAACAGGACCACCTCATTCTGATGTCAACTTACGGAACAGTGAACTCATTTTTAGCTATGTCCCTGTATTTCCCAGTATTATTTGAATAGCAGCACAAAAATGGTTAATATTATAATAAGCAACAAAAATGAATCACTCTTGCAGAATACTAAGTATTATTATTTAACCTAAAGAGGATTACTGGGCTGATGTATTACATATGACTTTATTTAAATGAAGAGGGTTATTTGACTTTTTTTATATTTTCTGCCTATTTATTTACATGCCCAAGTGCACATAAAATATACTTATTACATTTAAGATTATACTTTCTCATCTATTCTGTACAGTGTGCACAAATCAGTCAATATTATACCAATTCCGTGGATATATTTTTTTATTTTACTGATTTGAAAAGGATGTGAAGAGTGATGACTACTAATAAATGCTAAAATTATACTAGTGCTATTATATATAATATGAAAATCATATAAAATCCTTTAGTTTTTACATGCCAGGCAATAGTAGTATTTGACTGGTAGCTCACTAAAAAATACATAATAACTTATTCC